TAGTTGATCTTGTACTTTAAAAAGTACATCCTTTTAATCTTTTCTTTCAATCAACTTTTTTCCTTAGGATTATTACCTCCTACAGTTCACTTAATTATACCCCATAAGTTATGGTATGAACTCACATTATAACTTTTAAATTTTTTTATGAGCTTAGTGGATTTGGTTTTCTTTTTCATCACTAGCTTCTTTGTCACAGATGAACACTCCTCCCAATTTAGGAAAATATTATTTTGTCTAATATTGCTATTCACAATTTTGTTTGATCTTAAAGAAGAACTACAATAAATCTTGAATATCAATTGAAAAGTATTGCATAGCACAAATTTGCCTAGGTTTTACAGTAATATGATACATATAAATATTCCCCCAGTTCCTGGTTTACCCTTTACATTAGGAATACTGAAGGATGATAGGAATTTATGGAGCTCAGGTTTGTCTCCCTAGTGAACATCTTCTCCATAGTTCCCCAGAGGGTACCTCACATTTGGCTAGTGAGGCTGAGAAGGTGCCAGGAGGAGCAGGATGAAGAATGGCGTTGGGGCTTGGCTGGGCTCAGCATCCCGTTTGATCCGAGCCAGGTGAGATTAATCCTAATGCCAGCCTCAGCCTCTTGCAGCTGGAGCAGAGCAGACTGGCAGAGGTGAAGGAGGAAGCCAGGCCCAGCAGTGAATTGCCCAGGGGCAGTGATTGTGAAGGGAACACAGGAAAAAGGGTTAGGGGAAAGCAAGCATGAAGGCACAGCACCTGTGTATACACTCTGGATGCTGTGCAGTGAGAGAAAGAACATTATTTAGGTTGCTGAAGAAAGGCAGGGAAAAAATGTCTGCTCATGCATGTATTTCCATGTGTTAAATGCTGCGAATTAGGCTTAACACTTCTGTCTGAATGTTTGGAAGACCTGTAGAGAAAAAAAAATAGCACTTTGAAGGCCAGAAGCCTGCTATTACCAGAAAGCAAAGCAAGATGAATGGGCTCATGAAGAAAAGTCAAAGCTGCTGTTATCTCCATAGATAACCTTATAATTTACAAAGTATCTGATAACTGTGGTAGAGTAAAATTAATGCCATTTCTTGTGTAAAAAATTTCATATAATCACTGAATTTACTATTTTTTTGTTAAGGCTGTCATTATTATTACTGTAGCACAGAGGTTAATTAAAAAATCAATTTATTGGACTATGTATTATGCGTATGTGTGTATATTTAAAATAAAGGAAAAATGCAGGTACTTAACATTAATTATTACATTGCAAAAACACTTGACATCTCTTACATGCAAAAATCAGATTTTCCAGACTGATCATCCTCAAATCCTTACTTTCCTTCCTTGAAAACAACCTTGCTGCAATGGGGCCAGGACTATGACTACAGCAGAGGTCCTCTTCTTCATCATCCCCCAAATTGCTTTAAGTGATACAAGCTCCACCCCATAGCTCCATGCTGTTGCATATGTGACACATCAGCTCTGCCACCACGTTACTCATGCTGGGAAGAGATCCTGAGAACACATGGGCAGATGACCAGTGACTGGGTCCTGCTGTGACAATTAAAGGTTTACAAGTTTCTCTTGGCCATCTGCTCCTTTCAGGAGAAACATGGCTTTAGACTGTCCTAAATCACTCTGTTCCTAGCAGCATTTGCCCTTTGTACCTTTTTAGAAGCTCTCATTCCTCCTAAAGCCCTACTCCTGTAAGGCATACCTGCATATAATGCTTTAACTGAGGCAGAGGTCTCAGGCCCAGCTATTACCTTGCAGCTGGAGCTTACAAGGAAAGGAAAAATCTTATATTTCTTTTTTTCTGCCTTCCTTTTTCACTGTTCTCATCCCTGTTTCCAAGCATTTGGTACATCACTGCATGTAGTACACACATTGGGATGCACCAATGCCACATCCCCTCCTCAGTAGCAGCAAGTTTTATGTTGCTTCAATTCCAATTCAAGTCATGGCACAAGGACCAGCATGTCATGGAGAAGAAAATAATGAAACACAAGCAGAAATACCAATTAAACACCTTAATGAGGTATCTGTGCTTAACATGTTTCATACTTGAGAAGATGGCATCAATATGAAGCATCCACCACTGCCTTCTTGGAAAAGGCTTCCATTTGCTTAGTCAGTTCAAACCAGGCAGCTGATGAACCCAACACTTTTCCTCTGTGTTTAACCCTGTGATTTAATTTACTATTCCAAAAGGAATACAAAGTGGTAAGGATGTGATTGTATATGCAACTAAACTAGTTGAATTGTAAAATTCCAGGAATTTATTTGCCTGCTTTAACAGGGACATTCATTTGTTGAGGATAAATTTGTTTCCCCATGAGATTTGTTCAAAAATTAATATTTATCCTTACAAAGAAATACATGTGAGCAAAGCTATTTAATAAAATATAGGACTTACAGTCTCAGAGACCAAAATATTCTCTATTAATCAGGAAAGTGATTCATGCTAAGTATCATTTTTCTGGGCAACTGAGAAGAAAAAATATTTAGACCCTTTGAAAAACCTGGCCCTAATAATCCCTTTTCTGGCCTACACAGTATTTCTGTCTTGAGTAACTCAACATGCAGAACCATAGGATATTCATGCAAGTCTCTTGGGGTTTTTGTTTTGTTTTTTAATCATTCCTAAAGTAGATGTACCCAAACCATCCCTTTCAAACATGGGAAGCCCAGCAGTGTCATATCAAAGACCAGCTGAAATGATCTTCCCTGGGGCTAATATTTATCTGAGCAAAGTCCACTTTACACAGGGAAGGAAAGAGTCCACACCAGCTTGTGGGCAGAACCTTTTTTTGGGGGCAAATTTCTCCCTGCAGAGTACCTGCAAATCTGGGTGATGCTTAGACTACTGCAAGCCAAAGGTGATCCAGTTTTCTATTAGTCACCATTCCTACTGGTGTGCCAGCAGAAGCACTTACCTGCCTCCATCACTGCCAATAACTGTTAAACACAGAAGTAACTGTGATGCATTGGGATCCTCTGCAGACACCTGAAAGAACAAGAAACTATAGCTGAAAATCACAAAATTCAGAAACTGCTGCAGTTCCTCCCTTGTAGAAAACACAAGTTAGAAGAATTCATGTGGGACAGAAAGAGCTGTTAAAGACTCTGTGCGCTTTGGACTTGTTCTTTCCAATTGATATCTACCCAAAAGGGAGGCAGTGCTGAACTGTGGAACATAAATTGGCTTGCTGCTTGGCAATATATGTGGGGTTTCTGTGCCACCCAATGGAAATAAAATGTTGGGATACTTAAAGAGAAAGCTTGTATAAGAACCCCCTTTCTTACTGAGATGAAATTTACTATAGTCTGATTCTTTATGGTTAATAAACTAAGCTGTGCTCTTCAGAAAATCAGCTACATAAATACTTCTGGTAAACCAGAAGTGAAAATTTTAAAAATGTACTGGATCTTGATGATGGAAAAGACTCTATAAACTGTTGCTCTTGACTATTATAGGAAGTACAGTACAGATATATTCTGCCCTAAAATATACTACATCAGCTGAAGGTGAGTTGCAATCATGGTAATGTTCAATAAGTACTTAAAATCAATGCATACATATTACAATTTAAATAATTGCATTGATGTAGGACTACAAGTTGCATATATAATTTTAAATTTATTTGTATATATATTTCCAGTTATAGTTGAAATCATCTTACTTTAGGTCCTGTGGGGGAAAAAAATCATTAACTATTTAGAACTATTAAATAGGCATATAACTTCAGTGTCTCCTGCTTTTAACTACATCACCTAACTGTATAATGCATTGGGTTCAAAATTGCCATTCTCTTTACCAAGGTGTGAGCACTGAGCCCCACATCTGCAGTGCATTGTCTAAATCATGCTGATTCAATGTTTTATCTGCTTGTGCTCAAAGCAGAAACACTGCTGCTGAGGGAGACAGTCCTGCTGAGGCATAAAATAATCTTGTACAAAAGAAAAGGGGGTGATCTGAGTGGGACACAGGCACCGGGAAGGATGTCTACATCAAACAATTTTTTGAATCTGTTTTGTAACGTTATTAGTAGTATTTACACTACTAATAAATAGTAAGCTGTGATGAACATGCAAAATTGAGTATCTAGGGCTGGAATCCTCTTAAACTGAAAATTTTCATTTAACTGCAGCCCCTTCTCCAGCAAAAAACCTGCACCAAACAGATTAACATATAATATTTTTCTTGTTTCTTAAAAGCACAATAGGCACAAATTTAGATTGAGGACAGAAGAGTTTATAGAAGTCAAGATCCACGCAGCCTACCTCAGGAAAAATCAGTTTAGGCTGTCAACAAACAGAGAAGTCTCTGGAATAAACCAAATATGCTCAGACTTTTAAGTGAATCACTTATGACTGGTGTGCTGTGCTGTGGGAAGCTCCTCTACTCCCTTGGCTTGTGCTGCTTCTGCCATTATGACACAAGTTCTCTTCGAAAGCACACAAAAAGCTCCATAACAGCTAGTTAACTGAGAAGCAAACACATTGTGGAACTGTATTTTAAATAATTTTCCTTAGTGGTATCATGTTAGTTGGCACAGCTATAGATCTCTCTTAACCATTTAAATTACTTTACATGCATGTAAGTAATGTAATATTGTTATTGAGATTTCAAAGTATTATTTACTCTGCCATCCAGAAATTAGTATCCTCAGCAATATTCAAACCACTTTCAGATCAGTTGCTGCTGAGCTGTTCCAAATGACAATTTAGTAATGGGAATCTTTCCCCATTTCTCTTTTGACAGATATGTTAAAAATACAGCAAGTATGGCTCCTGCTACCTGGCACTTGCTAGACTATGAAACTCTGCTCTTAGAAAATATTTTACTCTCTTAGTCTTAAGATATATAATTTCTGACACTAAATGCTGATTAGGAGACATATTTAAAGCAATCTGTGCAAGGTCTGTAGGAGAAGCAAGCTTCTTCCATTTCTAGTTACAGTGACCTGTCCAGTATAGGCAAAGAAAAACTACACAAAGAATTAACAAGAACACAAAGTACACAAGTGTGTTTATTACATTTTGCAAGCACTTTGTTCTACATTTCAAAAACGCCACCATCAAGCTGTTGGCACATTTATGTACAAAACAGATTAATTGTAATGCCTGCTACAAAGCATTCTTTGTGAAAATACAAACTCTAATACCAGAGAAGAGCCAAAAGCATTAACATCATTACATGAGTTTAAAAGACATAGTTTTAAAAATCAGCACAAACATTTTAAGACACAAAACTGAAACACTACAATATAGAATCCAAAAAAGAGGTTCCTAATACTTTTTGCAGAACTGTAATACCGGTACTGCACATTATCAGAAAACTGTTGAGCCCGTAGGACAGCTTAAGTGTAAAAAAAAAAATCCAAACCGAAACCGAAACCCCAAATCAAAAACACAAAAAAAAAAAAAAAAACACAAAAAAAAACCAAAACAAGCAAAAGAAAAGAAAAATAAAAAGAACTCAACCAACTAATACTACTTAATGCATTATCATGCCACAAGTAACTATAGTATTACCTTCTACTTACTACAAGAATTGTTAAAAATTACTGATGATGCATGACTAGTAATAGTACAAAGAAGAGTTTTACTCAAGAAGTTTTATTAGAAATGCACTTACACTGAGAGAGAATTCACAATGGTCCAATAAGTGCACAAAACTACCTAAGATTTTTAACACTGACAAAAATGTCTTGTCAGGCTACATCACTTTAAAAGACACTTTACAGCATTCTTGTAGCATTAGAAATAGGCAAAATAAAAAAAAAAAATTCCACCAAATTTGGTCCAATAATACCGACTTTTCTTAAATAGGGTTTTTTGTTCTGTTTTTGATACAGGTAATTCTTTCAAATTAAGATGAGCTATCATTCTGATAACATTTTCATATCAAAATAAAGGTTCAAATATATTACTACACTTTGAAATAATAAGCTCTGTAGTGGTCTTTCACCTTACTTCAACGTAATACAGGTAAACCATTATGTGTAGGAAAGCTAGAAGCCAAGCTATAACATTTATGGAAGTCTCCTTTAATATATCTTTTACAGTTCAGACAGGTGCAATCCATTTAAATTTTTAAAGCAGGTAAAAAGACATCTGACTCCTATGGTCACTGCATTTTTGATATATTACTTTCATAAATGTAGCTAAGCAGTAATTTCTTACATCATCACATGGACAGCTCCAATTTAGCATAACCATCATTGAATTAAAGAGAGATTATTCTGTAGAAAACTATGAATAACTATATCACTTAATTAACAGTTGTCTATATACCATAACTCGTTAACAGGTAGCCGTGGTATTGAATTCCTTCAAAAGGCAAGTGGCCATGCATTGTTAGCACCACGGACTGCATGCTCACAATACAAACAGGAATTATCACCCATGGAACTTGAAACAAGAGAATATTCTTTAAAAACATCAATAATACAATGTTAACAAAGATAAGAAGCACTTTTTTCTTTTTTTTTTTCGTTTTTTTTTCTTTTTTCGCTTTTTTTTAAATTTTTTACCCACTATTACAAATTTAGAAATTGCACCTTTGATTGTTTAAAACGTTCTTAGGACCTTCATGCATGTTGATCAGGGTCCCTCTGGCAGATTTTCCATATATAAAGGAAAGTCATCAGAATGTTTTCTTTATATATTGTACATCATGTACAATGGTCCCTTTGAAGTATACCTGTAGTTAAAGTAGTTACTGAACTCAAAACTAAAAAGTATAAAAAGCTACTTTTTTTCCAAAAACATATAAGAAACAATGCAAAAGGTGTTATGCATAACACATACAAAGTGATTAAAAAAATCAAACACATAGTTGTATTTGACAATAGTTTAGTATCCTTGACCTATCAGAACTAATTAGCCTAAAGGGATTCAGGAAAGGCTATTTGGGAGCTTTGTGGTATAGAATGGTCACACAAAGTAAGAACTAATTAAGAAACCAAGTGCTAGACAACCAAGAATTGTATGTAGGTGATATGTAAGTCACCCAAACTATCTTTTGTGAGAAGCACTTTCAATTGTTTTTAAAATGGTAGGATGGCCTTTAGTTAAACAACAAAGCATTCACATGTTAGGAAGTAAGACAAGGTTTCTTTTATGTATAAGCATTGAGCCGCTCTTTAGAGCGAGTAGAATGAATATCATGCAGCTCTTGTTCCTCCTTTGATTTAATATCCTCATATTTTTGCATTCTGCAAGCATCTTTCACATAGGCCCAGTTGGCAGACAAGACCATGAGATAATGAACCTGTAAGAGAGGTAACACAGCGTTAAGAAACAATAGAGGTAGTCAGAATAGAGCACGTGTAAAATGGGAGGCTGTAGGTTCTCATCAGCAGGAGCTAGGCATTCTTGTGTCAAGAAGTAGTGTAGAACCATGATGGCAAATTCAGGCTTCATTAACCTTCAGATTACTCATCTCACAGCTGTTACTGTCACTATAACTAGTAGTTGGTAGCAATAGATATAAGAAAAAAAACCCTAAAACCTGAAAAATCCAAATTCTGAATAATCCCTGTGTTGTCTTTCAGCTAGTTTGCAAAGGTACATGTAAAAATGCCTTCTGGTTATGTATTTATTGCACAATTTTCACCACTGAAGAAGCTTTTGTTAAAGTAGTTCTTAAGATCGAAATATGATATAGACACATCTTATGACTGCATATCTAATACAATTAAGGAAAGTTTTGCTTCTTTATTTTTGTTAAAGTTAGCATTTTCTTTCCATTTAGCCATGACTTCTTTCAACTACAATTCTAGTTTTATATTTAACTTACCAATCTGGGTAAAAATTGTCAATAACTGTCAATAAGTTCAGTTAGGCAAAATGTGACAAAATATAGTTGAAAAAAAAATTGGATGCTCTGTTTCCTCTGTATTCAGTCAGAAAATAAAAAGGTTCCACTAGGATATTCAACCAGTTTGTGCTGGGACTCTTCGGACATTTACTCCTTCCCTATCAGGCTTTCAGACACTTTCTGATGAGAGCTTCTCTTTATGTTAATCTACTTCCTCAGAAGCAATGGACAATTTTGTGAGATTTAAAATATTTCACCTCTCTCTAAGAAATCAAGAAATTATACTGGGATTCCAATGGAAAATGGAATAATAATACAATAAATAATAAAAAAACCCCCTTGAGATTGTGCAAATTCTCCTGTTCATGTTGTACTGTTGTAGACATGAGTATCTTAGATTCATATTAAATGAACAGATCCATTCTAATATGTTTTTGGGTTTTTTTTTTTTTGGAATATTTGGACATTTTTTTCACAAGTGTTTGTTGGCAATTGTTGCTGGTTAGTAGAGGCAGAAGTACATTTCTTAATCTGGGTAATTAAGATCAAGGAAATCATTCTGAAGCCCTTAAAAAAACCCAGATATTTTTGCTACCTTTTTTATCCTTATGTTTTATGTCAAGTTTCCAATTAACCCTTGTTTGAGGAATACTATCTGACTTGAGGAGACATAAAATAAAAAGAAGTTGTTCAGAGAATGTGTCCTCTAAGAAAAAAATCTAGAGAGTAGTACTTCTACATATCTTTAGGATCTTCTTGATATCTAGAGAACAACACTGGGAAAGCGATCCATAAGTACAGATGCTGGAGATGGCAGCATGTTGTGTGTCACTTTGGAATGCTCTTTAGTCATAATCTAGTACACAGGAAAAACACCTTCTATCCTAACTCAGGTCTTCCAAAAGCTTTCACCATGGGTGCTTTCTGGATCAGACATTTCTAGATCAAATGGGAGACCCTAATCCTTGATCCCCATTGTACTGAATGAAATGCCTTAAATTCTCCACAGTAAAACTATTGAGAAAAGTCAAAATAAAGAGGCTGGTAATCCTAAAAATTTTTTCATCTGAATTGCAATTTGCACCCAATGAAAATAAGAATACTGGTTCATTGAGTCTGAAATTTCAGTTAAAAACACAGTCTGAAGCTCAAACAGATTGCAGACATGAGAATCCTGAAAGTGGGGGCTATCTGAGCAGCGCACTCACATCTTCATGACCTTTTAAAACATATTTGCCAGAAATCCTTGCAACTGAAGAGTCTGTGATGAAAACTGAATGATGTAGGCACTTTTTCACAAAATATTTGGTAATGACCCAGTAAAAGAAAAATTTAATGTCTTGCAATTTCACTCAGCATTTTTCTTCGTTAAAAAATAGACTACTTTGAAGGCTTATTGGTAACAGTCTGACCTTCATTACACACCTGTTCTTTGACCATCCCTTCCTTATGAAGTTAGTGAATCAAACTACTGTACTAACTGTTGAAAACTCTTGGAGTTCATATTCAATGTAAGTAGGAAGACTTGCCAGGAAACATCTACTTTAACTACTATAATTTCAAATATATATCCATGTTTATAATGACATATCCATTGAACAGAGCCACCAGCTTTGTTTTTTATTTTAACACCAAGTTCCTATATAACATTGCCACACTAAGGAGGTAATTTCTAAGTGGCTGTCTAATTTCATTTCACAATTCCATGACCTGAATAGCCTGAAGCCAGTGGAGTCCCCTTCAAAGCTTATTTAAATCGAAGCCAGGCAGCTTTCACAGTCTGCCTTAATTACAGACATATGCAAGGCAGTGCAGGGTCTTTCCATACCTATTCCTGCTTAGATTTCTTCATAAGGTGAGAAAGTATGCTTCAGTGTTTAGAAATTGTGGAGTTTGCTATTTGGGGATTTTTTTTTGTTTTGTTTTATTTTTCCATGCAGGACATGACCCTACTTCCCCAGGACCCAAGTTTAAATAACTTCAATTCCTCCTTTTATATGCATCTCACATCCAGCAAAAGACCACAATCATACTGGGGAGAAGAATAGAACACTTTGCATTTCCCTTGCTCCTATTTCAGGAGACCTGATTGCATCTCCACCTTACAGGACATAATTTGTGTGGAAATTAAAGCAAAAGAGTTACCAGCTCATATGGTAACTTTTGAGAAAGGAAATTTTGCATCTCATGATTAAGTTTTTCTACAGTATTTTTGGGGCAACATCTGAGGTGAAATGTATACTGCCTTTAAAATCAACTCTTGAATGCTAGAACTTACATTTAAACAACTTAATGTCTTCTGCCTCTATCTAACACAACACTGACAAAAGTAAAATTAATATGTATTATTGTAATGATCTATTCCACATGCATTTGTTATCCATTCAGCCATAAGAAACAACAGTACTGCTCAGAATCATATATGGTACAAATTAAATATGATTCAAAATCCTGGCTATGTTTTTTCCATGACAAAGACCCTCAAAAAGCATTTACAACATAAAAAATTCTATCAGGTTTTGCTTTTGGTTCTTTTTCCCCCATCTTGCATTGACATACGAATGATAAATTTTCAAAACAAACTCTTTGACAGTGTTCTTTGTTGCAAAATGAAATTTTCCCTAGTATATACTGTAAAATAGATGAGGTTTTATATATATTAGTCCTAATATGTAGGACAATTCTCCATTTGAAACCCAAACCCAACATTCTGCTTTGCAGACTAAACAGGTATCTAGTGATTTGGGAAAAAATTCTAACATTCATAAGCAAATCTGAGACCAAGAGATATGGGGAAATTGCGATTTGTGATCACAAATGGTTTTGCAAGTTTTAACAAGTTTTTTTTTGGTGGTTTTGCAATAAATGACTACTTTTAAAAAATATATTTTTAATATACAGTTTTATGAAAACTATCCTGGGGACAGATGGACTTAGCATTTATGAATAAGCTGATTCTTTTGTGAATTTTGTAGAATCATATTGACATTAGAGAGTTTAAAAAATCTTCAGAAATTAAATAGTCTGGCACTTACAAATGCTTACAAATTTGGAAGTGAGGATATAGTGGAGGATATTAATGTAATAACCTAAAATGTCATTTCAGAAAGCAGATTTTACCAATTGTGTCATTTAGCACTGATGTTGTACTACTGTTACTGGCTGGCCACAAATACAATGTACTTTTCACCTTAGTCAGATGGACTATTCTGGTTTAAAGTAATTGTTTGCAAGAAATGTTTTAAGAATGCATTATATTAATAAGCTTTTTCTTTTGTAAAAGACTGGTATTTTAATCTAATTTTCCTGTTGAATTTCAGAAACATGTTCTGGATATGCACAAAGACAAATGTCATCATTTCATATTTGTGATTATTCTTGAAGCAGCCCATGTAGTGAAGGGCACTGGCTCTCCAATGACTGAAATGACTTCTGCACAGTTTCTCACTGCTGATGCATTACCTCTGTCTACTAATTTGAGTGTAAGATCTGGAGAAAAAAGAGATCTTCTTCCTGGATGAGATAGTTAGGACCCCAAATTAACTTTTCCTCCCTTAAATTACTTTTGCCTTGGGAAAGTAAGCTTTCCTTAAAGGAGAACCTTTTAATGTCTGCATGTCCAACCACAAAATTCTGAATTTTCCCTCATTTCCCTTGTGTTTGGGGTACTATGTCAAGTGTGAAGCATTGTCTTAGCCTACAGATGTGGTCTGGTATGCTGGTTTTAGAAATTACACTTTCAAAGAGTGGAATGTGCTAGTCTTTAGGTACCTAACAGATTAGAATGGTAGGTTAAAAACAAAGAGCATAGTTAGAAACTTGAAAAAACTGTTGCAAACGTTTAATGAAACGTACATCTACCAGCACTGGGACAGTATGCAATTTACTAGCACTTAGAACATTAATTTATATTTTTGTTGGAACAGTGTTATCATGTCTGCTCTGTGCATTATAGAATTCAACAGAAAGCACGCTTGAAAATGGGTAATACTTCAAAAATATGTGAATAAATGTGCACCATCAAAGTGAATTCAAAGGGTATTTGTGCCTAGTGTAATGCAGCTATATCTTTGATATACTGAGCTTTGAAGGGTCTTTTTAGAAACATCATTGAAAGTATTATGTATTTAAACTAAGTATTATGTATTTAAACTATGTGGCGCAATGTAGTTACTTAATTTACTTTCACTGAAGATGTGTTATTTTCCATTGAATATCTTTTGGTGGCTATTTGGATTCAAAACTTGTTTGAAATGCAGAATTTTCATCTGAACAAAATAGCATTTTATGATATCTACTTAATATATTTCAAAATAATCATACAGTGGAAAACTAATGATCTCTTAGATTTAGTTTCATAACACTAATGATATATTATAATTGCTATATGGTCACTATTTTTGGAACTATAAGCAGAAAAATTTCAGTTTGAAAAAAACAAATTATTATTATGAATGGTATTCTACTATTACATTTATTATTTGTGGCCTTGAAACAAAAAACTCTGTCTAAAATATATATTTTTCATTTAGCTATCTTTGCTGTTTTCAGGAGGTTATGTAATAATGAAAAAAATGCCTGATAAAAAAATCATTGATATAAGAGGAGTACTAACTTCATAGAATGTTTTCTGAATGTAATTTTTTATAAATGCAACTATAAGTATTAAAAAAAAACAAAATCATGACCCTATGATCCATAAAAAATTACTAGTAGAAGCAGTATATAGGAATCACCACCACTAACACTTATGAATGCATCAGAACCAAGTAACAGTCACTTTTCATTTCCCATTTCAGCATGCATAATGCAAACCTACACCAGTAGAGAATTGTGAGTCTAAAAATATCTTTATGCTTAAGCAAATACAGCAGACAAAAGACAGAAGAGCAGGGCACTAGCTCACACACTTTTCTCAGTGGAACCTTCTCATTGACAAAATGTCAAACTTTAAAGTAATCTTCATTATAAAGGAGCAGAAAAATTAGTCCTGACAGAAGAATCAGCACATTCATATATATTCACAGAACTGACAAAAAGATTCTGCTCCTGAAATAGCAGCGTGGCAAGCCTATGAATACCCAGAAAGGCAGAGATCATAAAAGTATAATACTATGGTTACAACACAGACATGTGAATTCAGACACTTGCCTGAATACAGCAAGAGAACAGTAAAAAATTCTTAGCATGCACTTAAAGGTGTTTTTTCCAATTCAAAAAAAGTAATCATGATATTCTACTTAAAAGGGAGTCCATCGATATAAAAAAAAAAAAAAGAAAACCCAAACAAACAAACCACAAGCATATTTAGAAAACAAATGGTTGGAGAAATTACACTGACTAAATTTGGTAAAAGACTAGGAAAACTACTTGCTTGACTGTATTTTTCACTGTGATTTAATTCATCACCATAGTTAGAATTAGACTGTCAACAGAAAGAATACAAATATCAGCTACTTCCTACTACAACATATATTATCGATTTGCCAAAAATGCTATGGTATTTATTTACCTCATTAGAGTCACACATCTTGATGAAACTTTCTGATGAGGTGCAAACCTTCTTTTCCTCTCCAATAGTTACAATACCTGGAGAAGAATAAATATTCACATTATTTGGAATTCCTGGTACAGATCAACTTCCTTTATACGAGAAAAGCTAAGAACTTATTTTAACAATATCTGGGTTTTTTTGACAACCAGGAGTCTGGAGTAACTCTCCTGTGAAGACAAGCTGAGGCAGTTGGGATTGCACAGCCTGGAGAAGAGAAGGTTTTGGGGAGACCTTATAGCAGACCTCCAGTAACTTAAAGGGTCCCTCAAGAGAGCTGGAGAGGGACTTTATGCAAGGGCATGCTGCAGCAGAGCAAGGGGTAATGGCTTGAACTGAAAGAGGATAAATTTAGGTTAGATGTAAGGAAGAAATTCCTTATTGTGAGGGTGTTGAGGCACTGGAACATGTTTCCCTGAGAAATGGTGGACATTCCACCCCTGAAAGTGTTGAAGAACAGGTTGGATGGGGTCCCAAGCAACCTGATCTAGAGGAATGTCTCCCTGCCCCATGGCAAGGGGTTGGAATTTGTCTTTAAGGTGCCTTTCAACTAAAACCATTCTAGGATTCTATTCTATTTCAGCCAGCACAAAACACATTTTCTATTTATTAAAAGCCCTAGTAAGAATCATGTAGGTAACTATTTTTCTGCCATTTTTGAAAATGTCTTTATTCCCTGTTTTGATCAGCACAACAATTAAAGAACCAGTTAAAGAAATTATTTGAGGCCCGTTTATACACTTAAAATGTTCACAAACCTTCTCTACCTTCATGTGGGAAGTTGTGCTGTATATTGGTTTCAAACATACTGATCTGGTGTAAAGCTTCTTCCATAAGTTATATAAAAAGCATTACACAAACTTATACTTAATTGTTTCTCTTTTCAGCAATAATAAGTAGAATCTGGTACCTTGCTTCCTTTACAGGACATTTTAAGATCACAAATTCCTTTCTACGCAGATGTTACATCCTCTCAAAACACACATAGGTGCCTATCCCCATATTATTCTAACCTCCAGCATTCAGGCTTTAGTCCCATTCCCTCTCCATCTCTCTTTCCACCACTTTTTTAGAGTGTTACTATCAGTATTGCGGGTCCCCACCAAGGTTTTTGAAAGCAATGAATGTTGTGTCCCAATTCACCTCTGCAGAGACAGCTGATACCCTAGGATATCACATCTTCAAGTCAGTGTCCTACCACAAGATTAAAAGTAATTCTCCAGATTGATGACTAATTAGGCATTTTAGACAAGTTCCAGCAATTTCTGGAAAGACTAAGGCAAAGACCCATGCCAGATTTTCATTACTCTGGGAAGATGGACAAGGTTGACTCAATTTTTGTCAGGACAGGCAATGCAGTTCATCTTTTTTACACTGCCTAGACTGGTGGGTAAAAGGGCAGGGAGAGACACTTAACAAGTGCCTCAGAAACACTGAACAGTTCATTTTAGATACATGGAAGTAAAGTAGTGGAATGCTTTCTTTTGTGAAATGTTACTTTTCATTTAGTGCTTTGGATTTACGTACCATACTGGCGAAGATCCAAGCAGAGATTAGCTCCGTCCACTACGGTGGCATTTCGGCAAATGGTCCACAGATTGAAGTACATGTAAACAGGCAGGGAAGTGAAAGCTGTAACTCCAAGCCAGGCCAACATAAAGATGTATGTCAGCATAATGAACTGCAGTAAAAAGAAGAAAAACAAAACCAGTGGTAAGTCAGAACTGAACTGATTCACCATTGGAAAAAAAGGAACGATAGAGAAGTAACAAATGCATTTATGATTGGCTTTGTCTGCTTCTATCCTTATTTAATTTATAGTTTTGGAAGGATAACCCATTAATGATCAGGTCAAAATGATGCCAGAGCACTACTATGATGTTTCTGAAGAATAAGAATTATGCTTCCAGAAGTGCAAACTAGCTCCATGTTTCTCGCACTCTTGTGCCAACGATGAATGCAAAGCAGCGGACCTGAAGTCCAGACAGCTGCAGGCTCTGTGAAACACATCTGTCCCTCTCTCTCATCAACACTACTCCATAGTTAGGACAAGAGGCCCTATGGTTGTTTCTTTCACTATCAATCATGAAATAAAAAATTAAAATTAAATTCTGTAGGCTTTTCTTCTCTTGTTTTCAAAATTGGGCTCTTAATAAAAATGAGCCTTTATCTATGACTGCCACAAAAGCTCACTGGCAAATCCATTTGGCATTGAACCAAAGAGACTATATTTTTGCCATTCTGTTATTGCATTCATACATATTTGGGATCTACAAGCAAATTCATCATTCAGAAAACAAGTATGCAAATGTCCAATAAATATGTAAACATGCTGCCCCTTTTCTGGCCTGACACCACTGGGAAACACACTTATTAATAACAAACCATCTTTTCATTTTATGCTGTGGAAAGGATATGAAGAGGCTACATGGTAAAATGGGGAAATTAGTCTCTAAATATAGAATCCAAATAGCCATAGTGTTTGGTGGCTTCAGAAATGCTGATGAATCTAAACACATTACAGGAAACAAAAAAAAATTCATCACACTAACATTTTTCTAGCTGCTTACCTCAGAAAAATATTGGCTCTGAGAGTAAGAAATAAGAAATATCTTTGAAAGCTAAATAAGGTGATCAAAAATATGCTAAAAATTAAACCTTAAAGAGTAAATAAGGGGAAAAGGGATATATTTTCTTTTTCAGTTTATTTTGTTTTGTTTTTTAGATTTTTTTTAATGCAGGATCTCTCTATTCAGGTAATAGAGGAAAAAGCCTAATATATGTACAGATTTTAGTTATGGGAATCAATTAAGGTCAGAATCTAAATGGTTGTAAATGGTACTAAAAATTGTAGCAGGGTGGCTTATCCTCATTGATCTGATCAGGAAAAGCAATCCAAAACAACAAAAGGCTGAATTTTAAATAAGGTACCTTCATTGCTTTGAAGTTATAGGATGGATGTTCTCAAGCAATATTAAAGAGACCTTAATTTGATTTACTTTAACTCACTTCCAAATATTATTAAATAAAAGTAATTTTAATTCTGAGGAAGCATATTTACATAGGGATTTAATGTAGTTTAATTAATCTAGTTTAAAATTTATTTCAGATTAATTTTCCTGATTGTCTCTAGGTAAATGAAACTTCTAGAAGTAGTTTGAAAAGCTGTTTAATACTCTTGATATCAGCTTTCTATCCTTTTCTTGAGTTAGTTCTCCATGCTTCAAGACTCATACTTTACCTCCATGCTTACCAGTTTGAGGGTTGCAAAGTGTTTTAACTTTTTCCTCAACATCCAACTAGTTGAAAAGAAAAACTGATGTGTTTAATTTACACTTAAAGATTTCTAAAAATGCATTCATGCAGGTAACAGCTGTTTGCCTTACCAGATTTTCCCAATAACCCACTTACTAGAAACCCAGCTGGTAACACAGAGACAGTGATAGCAAAGTCCAGAGTAAATATGCACCCTTGAATACTGCTGTAGACATTTCCATGAGTCAGTTGCTTTATATATTGGAAATTCTACCCCATTTATTGCAGAGCAAACAGTTAACACAAGTAAATACAGCTCCTTTTTCTGTTGTTGTTGTTATTGTTCTTTTACTGTTTTCTTTTTTTTTTTCCTTTCCATATTACAGTGTTAAAGTTAATGGAGAAATATCTGTCTGAACCCCAGGCACACACAAACAATTACTTGGAAAATTACATAGAAATGTAGATTCAGGATATGAATTCCCATCTAAATTGCTATGTCCAATCTTAATTTATCATCAAGCTAAAGAGTTGCACTCATTTTTTCCTAAGGCAGGAACACTAAATAAGAATGAAGACAGTCCTTGTGTAGACTTTAAATTCTCATTTATTCTGGAAGTGTTTTAAAAGTAAACCAGCCTTCTACACTATATTCTTTGCTTGTCAAAAACAAGTAAGTCTGAAGTCTTACTTGTGATCCTTTTAGAATTCGTGAAATAAACAATACTTAATGAATTTAGTACACGTCTTGGTGTAGCACATCCATATTGTTTATGAAGTACTAAATTTTTATATTAGTTACATCCCTGAAATGTAATAACTGTTTTTATGACCAGGCTTCACATCAGTTTGAGAATCTTCCAATTTTGTGATTAGCACCAAATGGAGAAAAAAAGATAGGCCTTACCATGAGCATTACAAATTCTTTTTATATCTATTTATTTTCTGATCTGTAGTAATGATAAAGAAGCCTACTCAAAAATTTCGACTGAGATAATACAAAGCACTAGTATAGCAAAGAGGGAGGAAACAGAGCTTATTAGCTTCTAAAAATCAGCCTTGGGCATAAAATCGTAGTAGAAATCAGTCATATGATATATGATAGCTGCTGTGAGTCACAGGAGCTGCCTTCTCAGAGAGAATTGTCTGCTTGTTATGGAACAGATTCTCTTTAAAAACGTGAATCTGCTTGGTTGAGTGTCTCAGAAAAATTGCTCAAATGATGATTTCATTTTAAAAACATATTTTAGAAGAGAAAACTTCAGTTTTCCTCTGTCAGTTGCTTTCAGCTGAAGAGCCAATGGCCAATGACGTGCCTAATTTCATGTCTGCTTGTTATGGAACAGATTCTCTTTAAAAACGTGAATCTGCTTGGTTGAGTATCTCAGAAAAATTGCTCAAATGATTATTTCATTTTAAAGACATATTTTAGAAGAGAAAACTTCCGTTTTCCTCAGTCAGTTGCTTTTTAGCTGAAGAGCCAATGGCCAATGACATGCCTAATTTCATGCCATAACACCAAGAACACCAAGAAGACAGAAAAAATACAGAAGCTTCCTTTGTTTATGTAAGAATAACTAAAATACAAAACTTCAAGTTAAACCATGTGGTAATTTTGGCTTATGCTTGGAAGCTGCTATCACTGATATCAGTGAAGCAAACCACAGAAATGTGATCTGGGCAGTAATATACTTCCTGCTGTAAGGGCAGTAAAAAAAGTTTAACCTTGTACAACAAATTATTATTTTCTAGCAATAGCAGGTGATAGCTTCTTTTTGTAATTGAATGAAATTATGAATTTGATTTTTTAAAAAGCACAGGGAATAATAAATATTTTTTTAGATAATTTTCTCTGCTATTACAACCTTCCCTCTTCGCTCTTACAAGGAATGCTTAAGGAGCCTGTTCACTCCAGGAATTAAATTCAGTACCCAGTCTCCTGAGATTCAAAGGGATCTTTCTCCTTTGAAGTAGCATTCTGCTATGTGACAAGCTGAAGATTACTGAAATAGCAGTATAGCATCTTAAAGAGGTATCACAGTTTGTCCTTTAGCATCCTATCTATTGTGTTTATAGTGAGAATTGCTTTCTCTGATCAGTTCGATTTTCACTCTAAGAAGACAAACATATAAACTCAAAACAAACTAGAAGTGGTAGTGAAATTCGTCTACCAAATCATGAAGATTAAAGATCACTAATTTAAATTGAGCTCACATTTGCAAAGAATAGCTGAAATGAATAATTATTTGAACAAAAACATCTTTAACATTTTTAGTGTTTTGGGGTTTTTTATATCATCACTGTGGCTGGCAAAATGCACTTTCCAGATTTTGTAAGATTTTCAGTGCCTGTAATGGCTTTTCTGAGTTATAAATTATCAAAGCAGGCGAATCATCAACCTTCTGGAACTGTTTTTAAATCAAAACAGACCAATGTCAGGAAGCAGGTATTTCAGAGCATATTCTGAAATTGTTTGTGTGGAGCACAACTTCCCTGGTGGTCACAGCTGGTTGAAATCCTTTTTCCACTGAAAACATTACTCAAATCCTATCTATTTTAATAAGATCAAGATTTGTGTTACTGGTTGGTTTGGAGTTTTTTTCTCTCCTTCTTTCCTAATTTATGGGTACTTGTTCCATGAAAAGCACATTCATTAAATTTCAAACACTCTTCTTGTTTTAGTTTTGTTATAAATAATTTAGTACCCCTGAAGAAACATTGTATGATGGCTTCAATGACCCTTGGGACAGAGACAGTGAAATCTTATCTAGAAGGTACAGTTTCTACAAACAGAAATGGAATGAAAAGGAAAACAAATTAAACCTCATTCATTTTATTTTATGAGGACAATGCTGCTTACAACAAGAAAAATAATACAGAAACATAGCAACAAATTAAGTGCCCAAATAAAACTTAACTCCAGAAAGCTCGTGTTGCCATGTAATTTTATCTTTGCTCCAAACCACTCAGTACTTACTTTTACACTTTCTTTCAATCTCATAATATATTTATTTTATATGAAGTCCCTGATGTGAGCTCTCAACACAGAGAGTTGCAAAAAGATGTGCACCTTGCTGTGTTTCCATCACATTTAGATTTATTATCCTGTGACACACACACAAAAAATGTTTACTTTCAGCTGCATGAACTAAGAGGTTCTTTCCAACTGTTTCAGAAATTTTCTTTAACAGTTTTTTCCAGAGATCAAAACCATACCTGCAGAGATCATGTACATCCACCCTGCTCAAAGCCTATCACGCTTCCTTATGAAACCCTTGTAGTGCTGGACACCATGCAGAATAAGCCCAGGGTTAGCCTGGCTGTCTCTTATGGGAATACTGGGAAGCAGCTGGCCTCTGCAGTGCACTGCAGTCCTGGTTTGGGTGCATTTTCCAAACAGGAAATGCCAGAACAAGGTGCTGTGTT